ACACAGTGGCGTAACTACAGGGAAGCAACTGGAAGCAACGCTTTCGGGCCCCCGAATTTAGGGGGCCCCACTATAAATTTTTGTATTCATTGTATTTCTTTTTAATAAATTCTCAAAAGTGGGACGAAACGTTTTTTGTTGGAATAATTTCATATTGCATTTTATAAAAGATACGTAAATTTTAAATTTAAAGTACATAATATGTATGTACTTCAAATAAAATATTAAACCTATTTATGAAATAAAAAAGTTTTTCTAAGAAAAATATGTGTCTTGATCGAGAGTTTATATGGAAGCTATATCTAAATTTAAACCCATTTGAAAATAATTTTGTACGTTGTCTTTTGCAAATATCAGTACTGTATACACCATATTCCATTTGAATACCTTTATTAAAAACGGAGAAACCTTATATCCGATTGTTAAGTTTATATCACAGCTACAAGAAATAGACCTCCAATTTCAATCAAATCAAATGGTGAACAGGGTGCGCTCCCGAAAAGTATGTGTATAAAATTTTATTCGAAGAGTTCAAAAGCTGAGAGAGTAGTTTGAACTGTAAAAGTATACTGATATATACTTAATGGTATTTCCGAAGTTTCCTTTAATGCGTTACGAAAATATTGACAAACCTTATATACCCTTTTTACATTTTTTCGTGTAAAGAGTATAAAAAGAGGGGCCCCTTAGTATGTTGGTAGGGGCCCCTTAGTTAGAATTTGCTTACAGGCCTAAAAAATGTAGTTACGCCACTGGCTGACAAACCAAAAAACTCCATTAAGGTCCATTGCGACACCAGATCAGAGTCTTAATTTAATAGTGATAGTGTGCATCGCTTACGATAACACTAGTATAAGTCGTTTAATAATTAAATTTAATCAAGAATTGCAATATATTATATATAGCAGTACTACATAATTTTAAAATTATCTAGTGAACTCTGTCCAAATCTACTTCAGCATTCTGATTGAATGTAGTAAGCAGAAGAGTCTACCAAAACTCGTCTAAGATTACGATATTACTCGATGGATAACTAATGATGAGATACATAACTGCCCTCATTCGTATCGGAAATAAATAGCAATGCCAATCTTTGCGATTGCAGCGTCGATTAAGAAGCAACAGCATTGGCTCACTTTGGTTAAGATTTTGCACTAAATGTAGTCATAAATTTCGAAATTATCTCTTATCCCAGACACTCATACAAGTCATAGGTGTGTTCACAAATAATTAATGTGTCGATATCAGTTTTTTTCGCATTTGGAGGCAGTGTAGTGCTATGAAAGCAAAAGTGCAAATCATTGAAATTGAATAAAAAATTTGTGCACAATTTTTTAAGATACAACTTTTTACATATTTATTTATATCTTTTTTAATGTTTGTCGTTGTTTCACGTCAATAAAAAGCAAGCAAATTAAATATTATATATCAATTAAACAATATACATCACTGACATTATGATAATATACCCATTCTCACATTATTTAAAAAAAGGGAAGGAGTTTGATAAATTATTTCCAGATTAATATTATAACATGATTTCGCCTTGAAGGGTTATGATTATATTTTATATTATAGATGTAATCGATTTATGTTTTTGAAAAGAAGGCATTATTTTATTTCGAAAATTAAAGAACTTCCAAAATTTAAAGCAAAAGTGATGAAAATATAATTATTCCAAGTTTATGGAATATAAGCGTTCTATTAATATTATATGTAAATTTGAAATATGTAAAGTTGAAAATTTAAAGTCATCCAAATAAAAATAGACAAAAGATTTTTAAGATTCTACGGTTAGAACCCCAGACAAGTAGATTTGATCTGAATATAGTATATACAAACCATTACACAATTGAACCTCTGGTACTGCTACCACTTTGAATTCTCCTTTTTGCTTCTATGTATTAAATATGGAGTTACAGTTTTAAAGCACTTATAAGTTTGCTAAAAAGTTCTGTAGAAAATTGACGTAAATTTAACGATAAATTAAGATTTCATTTACTAAGATCCAACTCATTAAAAAATATTTTAATAATCATAAAATTAACAGTTATTTAATCCATATCCAATCTTATATTATATTATATATGTAGTCTTTAAAACGTTTGTACCGATTATTTGTGAAGCTAAGCTACTTAAAACAATTGATATTTTATTTACGGGATCTTCTTGATAAATCGGCGATAACTGCGCTAAATAAATATTAAAATATTTTTTTATTAACTGGAAATATTTAATAGTTTATATAATTTGATGTATATTATATATATAGAATCATCTTCTGTGTCGACGGGCATTTAATGGACACAATTTTTAGTAAATATGTAAAAATGTAGAATGAAGAGTTGGGCATGTTGATTAAACACTACTTTTAAAAAGTTTTCAAAAATAAAAAAAAAGTTTGGCATTTAAGATAAAAACTGCATAATATAATATAGATTAATTCAAAAAAGGTAAGTAGTTTAACGAATGTTTTTATGGTTGTATGGTAAAAACATATTCATTTGACGAATTTGTTAACAAAAAGAGTGCAGCAAGCGAAAACGGCATCTGGGGTGCATATACCATAATTCTGACCCACTCCCATAAAGAAGGGTAATATTCTATTGTGCTCAAAAAAATTTGTTTCGTCATCAGCTCATTCGTCAGCAATACCAAAAACAAACTTGATCGCATAACACCACAAATGCTATTATATCACCATCTAATTACGTACTATATATTTCCGAAATTCAACAAATATTATCTTAAAGTTAAATTTTGAAGATATTTGAAATATCCTTTTTTTCAGAAGGCTCAGCGTTATCTGAAAAGAATAACATTGCAAAATGCCACTGAAATGAAGTCTGAAGAAAGATGAAGATATATTTACACTATCTTAAAAAAAAACCAGAGTACCGCTACTGCACTTACAGATCATTTTTAAGGTATAATACTGTATTAACTGATTTCTGGATTATCTCAAGAAGTACAATTGTATTCTTTAATATAGTACAGGATTTAAAAACTTCTAACCGAAATAAACATAACTTATGAAATTGATTTCGGTTTTGGTTAAATACTTTTAATATGGACTAGCTAAGAAGTTTTTCAGTTTGCAGTCATAACTCAGTTTTTAAAATACATCTTTCTTTCATCTTTATCTCACTCCTCAACATAATAATTCAAATTAAGTGAAAAATATTTACAAATCGAGAGAGTTTTCTTAATATAATCGTCAATTTATAGGACTCGAATATCTAAATAAATCCAAA